ATGGTTTAATGTGTTTGCACCCTTAAGAAAAATTGCTTTTCAACCATTCTATCTTTGATCTCTATGGATTCAACAATTCCAATGCAATTGCTCCATAAATTCTTTAGCTGCATGTTCTACGTCAGATAATTTTGGAAAAAAAATTATAAGTGGAATTTTTTGGGGGGCAAGTATAGAAGTGGAAAATTTGAAAGAAAGACATAAAACCTTAGGCCCTATTTGATTTCTGGATATAAAGGTTTAGATTGGATATTATATACTATGTGATCCACATATTTTATGTTTGTAATTTTTTTATTTTTATTTTTATAGAGGATATAATCTACTATGGAATTGGAGATATACAATACCACCCTTCCCCCCATTATATCATATCCTCTGGTCTGAGATAAGAGTTGAAAAGACCAATTTACCCTTCTTGTCTATATACACACATTCAATGATGATTATTTTTGTAAGATATAATTTTTTAGCATGAACAATGGTTATTTTTTTGTTTTCAAATAATTTATTTTCTGGGATTTTTTTTGAGAATTATGGATGTGGCATGATAAATAAGTGATGGCTATTTTTAAAATCAAAATACTTATTTAAAATGATTTTGTGGTATTTATTTATATTTATCATTATCAAGTTGGCATTAATATAATATAATTTTTTTTGGAAAAATTATTGGATTTAACATGAGTCTTTAATTTGTTCAAATAAAAAATAATATGAATTTTTATTTTTTTTTATTTGCATTAGTTTTGTAGGTGGTGTTTTTTTTTTTTTTTTTTCCAGATTTGAACAGTGTCCATTTTGATAGGCACAAAGGCAATACGGGTTTAAAAGTATATTGTGAGGGCAATCTTGGAAATTACTTATTTATATCCCACCATATATTTTGTAAAACAAAACATGGATAAGATATATCAATAATGTTTAGAAACCTGGACTGGAAATTACTTATTTATATCCCACCATATATTTTGTAAAACAAAACATGGATAAGATATATCAATAATGTTTAGAAACCTGGACTGGATTGACTGGTCGGACCGGTTGGACTGGTGACTAGATCTTGTTCCGGTTCGAAAAACCCTTTAAACTTGGACATAGCTCAAAACCAGTGTAAAATGAAAGAACCGCCGGTTCAACCATCAAACCCGATGACTCAGACGGGGTTTTAAGAACCGGCCAGTTTAGTGAGAGAGACCACTAACACAACATAGTCCCCCTAAGTCAAAACACTTGATGGCCACTCCATTCCATACATATCGCTAAATTTCAGATTGTGTGTGTGTGTGTGTATGTGTGTGTGTGAGGTATTTTTGGGGAAGCCATGGAAGAAGAGGCAGAATATGGCCTTTTTCTACATTGCTACTATCTTGTCAGGACCCAAACTCGCCTCCATAGGTTTAGCGTCATGACCGGCCAGTAATCATAGATTACCTACGGCCTCCATACAAAAGAACCTTTAATTGTAAAGTACGGGGCTTAGCGGAAGTCTAAAATGACATAGAATTTTGCATATATGAGGAGAACGAATATGTTAAGCAAGGTTTTGTTTCAAAGATACATCCAACATAAGTACAAATTCATGTCTTATAAGTATGCAACCCCCAATTATACACATATACAAAAAGGGCATGGAAATACACAAAGGGGGCTCAACAAGCATGGCTCCTCCTGAGCTTGATCACTTCACTTGGAAGCTCCACAAAAGGCTGACCCGGGTAGACTCGAGGCTATCTAACTCTGATGTTTAGCTTTCCCACCTACATTTACACATATAAATAAATAGTGAGCTAGAGCCCAATGAGTAATAACAGAATAAAGAGGTTAAATGAATGAAGCTCAATAACATTGTCAGACCAAATTTTCATTAATTCATTAAATTCCTTCAATATCGTTTTATGTGGTACATTTATGAAGTGATGACATTCCAGTAATAATGGACCATGAGTCAATCAGTCCAAAAGCCATGGTATTATTACCCCCAGGCAAGGGCCTACGTTCAATGGATGCCACAATACCGTTTCAAAACAGAATTTCATTCATTAAAGGACATAACATTTTAATAAGCCATGCTATCAATTATCAAATCATTTAAGAATTCATACAAACAATCACATATCCATTTTGATAGTAATAACACTTTCGAAAGTAAAGATAATTTGAACATATCTTTATAAGGCTATTACTCACAGTGGTTTGTGGTGACACTAAACCTCGGATGTCCACCTAAACGAAACACATAACAAAGTACAAATGAAACTCGATTTCATTTAATTCAATTCTTTTTATATGTTTCTAACTTATTGTATGATTATAGGAGTCCAAATGGTGCCTAAGAATGCTTAGAGTGACATGAGGATGCAAATATGCACTTAAGAGAGTTGGTAAAATTTTGCTGAAAACAGGGTCTTCGCTTGAGTGCAATTTCCTACACTCAAGCGGGGGTTCAAAAACAAAGGTGGTCGCTCGAGCGTAACTTTTGTCGCTCGATGGTCGCTCGAGCGAAAGATTGAGAAAAAGGGTCCTCACTTGAGCGCCACTTTGGCTGCTCGAGCAACCTATAAAATTTCAAAAAACTTCTGGGAGCTCGATTTTCACGCTCGAGCAGGGCTTTCCTCGCTCGAGTGGACATCACAAATTTTTGAATTTCCAGAACTGCGTTTGAAGTTCAAACATGGTATTCAAAGCTTCAAATCTTGTGTTTTTGGTACAAAAACAAGGAGAATCATTGTATAACATAAAAATACTTCCAATTTGAAACCATTTATTCGAAACCATGGCAAATTCTTAACCAAAAACTTCAATTTCAAGTTATAAAATAAGTTTAATTCAAATTGAGCGTATATTTCTTCAAAACATATTCAAAACATAATCAAGTGACATGAGGAGCATGAAAACATGAAGGATTCTCCAAATTGAGGTATAATTGTCCCATGCATGTTTGAATTTCATGTAGTTTAACTCAAATTATTCATGCATGTACATGTTTAACTCTTAACTTCCAAATTCAAGGTGATTGAAGCTTCTATTTAACAATTCCATGCAAATGATCTCAAAACCTTGGTGAATACAACTTCTACATGACTTGATTCCAAGAATTTAGAATGAATTACATACCTAATGTGTGAATTCAAGTGTATGATGGCTCCAATTCTTGAATCTTCCACCGATTCTCTACAAATCTCCTCTTTCTCTCTCTAAATGTTGAACTCTCCTCTCCTCTCTCTCAATTCTCAGCTAAGTGTGTGTATAAAATGAGCTCATAAGCTATTTAAAGGTATTTATATGGTGTGATTAAGTTAGCCTAATCACATATGATTCAGGTTAATCAACAAGGCTTAATCCTAATTAATTCAATCAGTTTATTCTAATTATTTTGATCCAAATTAAATTTCAATTAAAGTAGCCATAAAATTCTAAATATTCTAATTAGTCTATTGGGATAGTCAATTTCAGTTTCTGAAGTTGTTAGGCTCTCAATTACCGACTCTAAGTTGTCAATTTAAACATATATTCCATATGTCAACAGATAATTATAGAATTAAATATGTAATCACACAATTAAGCACATAATCATGCAATTAAAATCATTAAAATTATATAATGTACTAGTTTGGAGGTCGGGGTCGTCACATCTCTACTCCCTGACTTCGATTCTTTGCCTCCCACCACTAATCTCCTTCCAAAGCTTCATGATCCGACGTTTCATATGTACCGTTGTTTCCTTCCTCCTCTCTCTCATCTTCTGCGCTCTCATCCTTCCCGTAATCTCTCTCCCTCTCTCTCTTTACTGCTCTATTTTGGTCTCTTTCCTTTTTTTGCTGCTATGTTTCTTAAGCTGCTTAATGCTTAATTTTATAGTCAATATCATATCCAAACAAAACAAAAAGCATTGAGGCAAAGAAAAATCAATGATAGAATAATAATACTACTAAATATTTTAAAAAATTCATAAGTATTTTTTTTATAATAAATTTCTGATTTCATAGCTGTTAGTTAATGTTTTGGAAAATCAATTTTTAGAATATATATTCTGGCACTCATCTTGCAAATATATATATACTTATCGTGCAAAAATATTCTGGCACTCATCTTGCATATATATATATATATATATTCTGGCACTCATCTTGCAAAAATAAATATATATATACTTATCTTGCAAATATTTTGAAAATTCTATTATTTTGTTAAATTTGATTATTTTTATTTTCATTTTTATACTTATATTTTTAATATATATTTTTAAATATAGTTATGATGTAATTATGACGTCACAGTTCAATCGCTTCAACCCGACGGTTGAACCAGTGATCCGTCTACTCGGTCCCTTTTCTGGTTCGTTTACCGGTCTGATTTTGAAATCATTGTTATATATCAAGTCAAAAAACATGAATTGGGCAATATATTATCTAATGCATATATATCATATTTATTATATATCCTAACTAAATCTTATATCATATTATATCCTCCATTTTATATCCAATGAAACAAACAGGGCCTTTAGGGGAAAAATTATTAGCATTTTCAACTTGAGAATTTTGAGCCAAAAAAATCAAATAAGCATAAAACTAGAAAAGTTTTACTAAAAACACCCCAATTTTCAAACTTCAAAGTACAATTGATTAAGCATGGAATTTCAAAATTTAAACTACGATGCTACAAATGCCTGAAATATTTTATAAACTTGTGCAGCAGACAATAACAAAAATAAATAAATATTCATGGTAAGTTCCAATTTTCAATCCAAATTGATAAACAACCAAATAAATGAGGCTAAAACTCATATCATCTCACTATTTTAAACCTCTCCAGTACGTAAAAAAATGCTAATCTACTAGGTGAAAAAATTCAACCATATGCAACAAAATTTGACTAATTACACAACCTCTTGATAATATTTCCAAAAAAATCACTAACCTCACCTTAGAAAAATTAGAAATGGGTATGAAAAATTTGAACATAAAGTAGCAGCTACTAATTGTTGTGTAGTAAAACTAGTCCCCCTCCATTTCAAAAATGGCTTCATTCAAAACTTTCTGAAGTTCTTTCCCTCTTTGTCGTGTTAATGCAATATAGTCCTGCAATTATAACACCATTCCTCATTAGCAGACGACACTGAATTCATTTGTGTTTTCGTATGGTGTCTTAATGAGACCACTATATACATACTCTATACTAGAAGTTTAAAAGTCAAGGCAAACCCATATTTTAGTGTGAAAGAAGTTTTTATAATCCTATTATCAATTTATCATATTCGGATTGGATAAAAGAAACCATTTAAGTTGAAATGCATTTCTAAGGTTCTTGCTTTGAAAGAAATGCATTTTCTTATATAAAACCTTTTTTATACTCCAAACAACTTTAATGCAGTACACAAAACTTAGGCTGTGTTTGGATCAAGAATTTAAGTATAGATTTATGGAGGGAAAGGAAAAGTCAGTAAAATTTAGCTTTCTATTTCATTCACTTTTTCCTTTCTTTTTTCCTTTCCCTCTGCAAATATCTCCCCAAATTGTTGAACCAAATGCAGCCTTAGATTACATTCAAACACCTAAAAATTTCTAAAATTCTAGGGTTCCTTACTAATTGTGAAGCTAATAGTTTGGGACATACAACCATATATTGGGATATTTGGTGGAGTCTCAACAAACATGGCATTTTAGAACTTGATCTCACACCAAAAAGTGGACTTAAAAAAGTGAAAACAAACTTGGATGGCTAATGTGTATGCAAGAACTAGTCCACCGGGCTTGTAGAGAGACACTAGTTGAAAAGATGAATCCAATACCACAGTAACAAGAGTTTCCATGATGGACTCTTCCTCAACTGTAAGGTCTTCCAGAATGTAATTTTTGTGAAGTATGCATGTCAAAGAGAATGGGACACGACTCAGCTTGAGCTTCCTCTTTCCTTTATTGACCAGCTCATATTTCAACTTGCCTTCATCTTCCTTAGAAACAACTACTACTCTTCCATCATCATTCAGAGAAACTACTGGGATCTGCACATCAAGACAAAAATTCAATGGTAAATAAACTGTTAGAATTAAAGGTGCTTTATCAAACATGACAATATGCTTTCAACATAAATACAAATGTAGAACATTACTTATTCACCCAGATTATGTTGAAATTTTGATAAGAATCTACCAAATACAAGAATAGTTTTGTATACAAAAACAAAAAATTTTAATTTTGATAAGAATCTACCAAATGCAAGAATAGTTTTGTATACAAAAACAAAAAATTTTAATTTTGATAAGAATCTATCAAATATAGTAATAATGTTATAAACATAAACAAAAGACCATTGTCTACTTTTTGCCATATTTTTAAGCCAAGTTGAGCATCATCAAACATTGTCTTGAAAATTCATTGTGCATGCATGTACCAACTACTCACCTCGATACTATAAAATCATGAAAAGCACTATAACAAGCATATCTCACTCAGACACCATCAACTATATCGAATAGGAAAATATCCTTTGAGCTGGCAAATTGTGGGTGACAGTGACACAAGACAACCATTCTTGCTATGCTAATCTTGCTCTTCATTAGGGTTTGAAATTTTTGACTTATACAATGGGGGGTTTGGGGGAGGCCTCCTCAAGGGAGAGGGGGGTCTAGGGGGTACTTTTGGGTATTTTCGTAATTCCCATGTTGCTTTCATGTAACCCTAATTCTATACGTATAAATAGATGAGGGGGCGCTTCTTTTAGGTTAAAAGAGAGTTGTATTTTTTTGATCATAGTGAAAATCGCAGCAGCCGTGGACGTACTGTTATTCTGGGGTGAACCACGTAAATCTTTGTGTTCTTGTGTGTATGATTTGTTTGATTCTTTTATTTTCTTCCTTTTTTGTTATTTTGTGCCTCACCAATCTTGGTTAGGAAGGGTCAATTCCTAACAACTGGTATCAGAGCATTGGTTCGAGTGGGAACGATGGCTATTGACGAAAAGGTTAGAATCAACAAATTCAATGGCACAGATTTTGAATTTTAGAAGATGCAGATTGAAGATAATTTGTATCAGAAAAAACTGTATGAGCCCCTTTCAGAGACAAAATTAGAAAAGATAAAGGATGATGAGTGGACTCTTCTTAATTGCCAAGTGCTTGGTGTTATTCGGCTAATGTTGTCTCGTAACGTTGCGTTTGACATAGCGAAGGAAAAGACTACAGCGGGTCTTATCTTAAACATGTATGAAAACCCTCTGCCTCAAATAAAATTTATTTGATGCGTAGATTGTTTAATCTGAGGATGACAGAAGGTGCTTTGATGGCTGAGCATCTGAATGAATTCAATATTGTGGTAACACAATTGAATTTTGTATCTATCGAATTTGATGATGAGGTTAGGGCTTTGATTCTTCTATCTAGTTTGTTAGAAAGTTAGAATGGTACTGTAACAACAATGAGTAATTCTTCGGGATAAGAAAAGTTGAATTATAACGATATTTGAGATTTAATTCTAAGTGAAGAAATTCGCAGGAGGGAATTAGGGGAAACATCAGGTTTTTCCCTAAATACAAAAGCCAGAGGAAGATCAATAGGAAGAAACCCGAACCGTAACAGATTAAAATCCAAACATAGATGCAAGTCAAGAACTAGAGAGGGACAGAGTTGCTGGAACTGTGGAAAGAAGGGACATCTAAAAGGAGATTGCCTAACATTGAATAAGAACAAAGGTGATCAAAATCAAAAGTCTGCTAATGCTGCAACGGAGGAGATTTATGATACTTTGATCTTGAGCATTGATAGCTCTCTTGAATCTGATTTTAGATTTTGGGGCATCATTCCATTCTACTTTACAGACGGAAATCATGGACAATTACATTGGTGGTGATTTCGAGAAGGTTTATCTGGCTGATGATGAACCTTTGAAGATTGTGGGTAAAGGGGATGTAACAATCAGGTTGCCAAACGGATCTGTTTGGAAGATACAAAATGTCAGACATGTGCCTGGTTTGAAAAGAAACTTGATTTCTGTTAGACAACTTGATGATGAAGGTCATGTTGTAACCTTCATGGGTGGTTTGTGGAAAATCACCAAATGAGCTATGGTTGTTGCTCGTGGTAAAAAAGAAGGCACCTTTTACATGACTACAAATAATAGGGATGCAGCAGCAGTTGTTGGTGAGAATGAAGACTCAAATCTGTGGCATCAAAGTCTTGGGCATATGAGTCAAAAAGGGATGAAGGTATTTGCATCTAAGGGGAAACTGTCATATTTGAAATCGATGGACATTGACTTTTGTGAGGATTGCATCTTCGGCAAACAAAAGAGGGTCAATTTTTCAAAGGATGACAGCAAACTAAAGTCAGAAAAGTTGGAGTTGGTTCATACAGATGTGTGTGGACCTGCACCAGTTTCATCTCTTGAAGCATCATCATACTATGTTACCTTTATCGACAACTCAATGAGAAAAGTATGGGTTTATTTTCTGAAACATAAATCTGAAGTTTATACTACTTTTAAGAAGTGGAAAGCCTTGGTGGAGATTGAAACAAATCTGAAAATTAAGTGCTTGAGATCAGATAATGGAAGGGAATATGAAGATAATGAGTTCAAGAAATATTGTGCAGAAAGTGGAATTAGAATGTAGAAGACTGTTCGAAAGACACCTCAACAGAATGGCGTTGCAGAACGCATGAATAAAACTCTGAATGAACATGCCAGAAGTATGAGAATACATGCCGGACTGCCAAAGATGTTTTGGGCAGATGCAGTTAACACTGTAGCATATCTGATTAATCGTGGTCCATCTATTCTATTGGTTGGAGAGTTACCAGAAGAAGCTTGAAGCAGTAAAGAAATAAATCTTTCTTTTTTCAAGGTATTTGGTTATGTTTCATATGTGCATATAGATTTTGCCGATAAAAGTAAACTTGATCCGAAATCTGTTAAATGTACTTTTATTGGGTATGACATTAATCAATTTGGTTATCGGTTTTGGGATGATAAAAATCAAAAAATAATCAGAAGTAGAGATGTCATATTTAATAAGAAAGTAATGTATAAAGACAGGGACAAGTCTACATCTGAATCTGAATCTGTTACTTGTCATGATCATGTTGAGTTAGAGGAGATTAGTAAGAGTGTTTTGAATAGTAGGATTCAGAATAATCCTGAAAATCTTATTCCACAAACTGAGCCACATACTCCTACTCCTACTACACTGAAATTTTCTCTCTAGTTGTGAAGTTGACCACTATCAGATTGGTGTTAGGAATTGTGGCTGCTGAAGATTTGCATCTTGAGCAGATAGATGTGAAGTCGGCTTTTCTCCATGGTGATTTGGAGGAGGAAATTTACATGAAGCAACCCCAAGGTTTCTTGGCAAAGAGGAGTTTATATGGTTTGAAACAGGCCCCAAGGCAGTGGTACAAGAAGTTTGATGGGTTTATTTGTAGCAACAGCTTTACAAGATGTCAACCAGATCATTGTTGTTATTTCAAGAGGTTTGACAAAAGTTATATTATTTTGCTCTTATACGTTGATGATATGCTTATCACAGGATCTAGCATTGAATAGATAAAAAGATTGAAGAAACTTTTGTCCAAGCAATTTGAGATGAAGGATCTTGGAGTTGTAAACAAAATCCTTGGTATGAGGATTCACAAGGATAAGGCAAATTGTACTTTGAAGTTGTCACAGGCTGTAATGCCCCAACCCTTCACACATCATCGATATTGTCCACTTTGGGCCACGCTCGCACGGATTTGGTCTTCCCAGTGGGTCATCCATCCCAGAACTACTCCAACCTAAGCACGCTTAACTGGGGAGTTCCGCTAGGGATTTCACCGCTCGGGAAAAGGCCTCGCTGCTATATAAGGGTCTAGGTTTTTACTTTTATAGCTTAGAAATTCCCCTTCCATTCCCAATGTGGGACACCGGGACCTCACAATCTACCCTCTTAAGGTTGCACATTCTCATGCAGTAGCCTGCCAGCTCACAAGCCCGCCCACATGCATCGAAAGATGCCAGGGGCCCACACTCGGTACTCCAGAGAGTTGGCTTTGATACCATTTGTAACGCCCCAACCCCTCCCATGTCTTTTTCAATTCTTTCACCCATCTTATCTTATTTTGTCTAGATGCCCTCTTGTGTTGCATATTAATGGCAAATAGGGTTTTTTATTTGTATGAAAGTGTGGGTTTGATTTAGTGACTTTGCCTTACGAGCCGACTCTCCAGAGTACCGAGTGTGGGCCTCTAACGTCTCTCGGTGCATGTGGGCAAGCTTGTGAGCTGGCAAGCTACTGCACGGGGATGTGCAGTCCTACGAGGGGTGGATTGTAAGGTCCCGGTGTCCTATATCTGGAATAAAGGGGAAGTTCCAAGGCTATAAAAGTAAAAATCTGGACCCTTATATAGCATCAAGGCCTTTTCCCGGGTGGGGAAATCCCTAGCATAATTTCCCAGTTAAGCGTGCTTAGGTTGGAGTAGTTCTGGGATGGGTGACCCACTAGGAAGAACAAATTCGTGCGGGCGTGGCCCAAAGTGGACAATATCGATGATGCATGAAGGGTCACTACCCGGGAAATGGCCTCGATGCTATATAAAGGTCCCGGCGTCCCATATCGGGAATGGTGGAGGAGTTCTTGGGCTATAAAAGTAAAAGCCTGGACTCTTATATAGCATCGAGGCCTTTTCCCGGGTGGTGAAATCCCTAGTAGAACTCCCCAGTTAAGCGTGCTTAGGCTAGAGTAGTTCTGGGATAGGTGACCCACTAGGAAGAACAAATCCGTGCGTGTGTGGCCCAAAGCGAACAATATCGATGATGTGTGAAGGGTTGGGGCGCTACACATGCTGAGTATGTCAAGAGAGTTTTCAAGAGGTTTAGCATGGATAGTGCAAAACCAGTGAGCACTCTATTGGCTAGCCACTTCAGACTTACCAAAGAGCAGTCTCTGAAGACCGAAGAAGAGCAGGCTTACATAGAATGTGTTCCATGTGCTTCAGCTATCGATAACATAATGAATGCTATGGTTTGTACTAGACCAGACATTGCACATGCAGTGGGAGTGGTTAGTAAGTACATGAGTAATCCAAGCAAGCAGCATTGGGAGGCAGTGAAGTGGATCCTTAGATACTTGGGTAGTACTACAGGCATGACACTTTGTTTTAGGCGAACCGTCATCGGGTTACATGGTTATGTTGATGCAGACTTGGCTGGTGATATGGATAACAGAAAGACTGCTACTGGTTATGTTCACACATTGGGCGGTACAACAATAAGTTGTATTTCATAGTTACAGAAGATTTTGGCCCTTTCTACAACAGAGGCTAAGTATGTTGCTATTACTGAAGCTGGGAAGGAGATGACTTGGTTACAAAATTTCCTAGCAGAGTTGGGTAAGAAGCAAGAGATGAGTATTTTGCATAGTGACAGTCAAAGTGCTATTCATCTTGCAAAGAATTCGGCTTTTCATTCTAGGATGAAACACATTTAGCTGCGATACCATTTAATTCGTTCACTTGTAGATGATGGAGTCTTGTCTCTTGAGAAGATCCAAGGTAGTAAGAAT